TCATCATCATCATCATTATCTCTGAGCACGTTCAAGACAGTTCAAGCTGGCATAACTTGGTAATAGGTCTAAGGAATTCTTGTTTTTCCACTTGAACTTTGGTGACCCTTACGTGTCCATCTTTGCCTGGATAAACTTCTACATTTTGACCAAGAGGTCAGTGTCCTTGTGGTGTCTTGGGTGACATGACTAACACCACGTCATCAACTTGGATGTCTCGCTCAACAGTTAACCACTTTCTTCTGACTTTGAGAGCTGGTAACCACTCCTGAATCCAACGATGCCAGAAATGTCTAACTAGTTCCTGGACTCTTCTCCACCTCTTCTTTGGGTTGAATGTGGTCTCATCTACTGATTCTGGTGCCAACTGTCCTCCGACCTGACCAAAGAGGAAATGATTCGGCGTCAGTGGCACGTCATCTTCAGGATTAGCTGATTGATATGTCAGTGGTCTGGAGTTTAGAAGTGCCTCCGCTCCAGTGAATGCCGTCATTAACTCTTCATCTGTGATGTCTGCATTTCCCAGGATTGCATATACTGCTCGCTTTGCGCCCTTGATCATAATCTCATTGGCACCTCCAAAATGAGGTGCATGTGGGGGATTAAACTTCCATTTTATTCCTTGGTGTGCAGTGGATTCAGCAATCTTGTCTTCATCAAGCTCTTTAACCAAATCGCTCCACTCCTTACTACCTCCAACGAAGTTACCTCCATTGTCAGATAACATCTCTCTTGGAGGCCTCCTGCGATTGACCATTCTGTAGAAAGCATTCAGGAACGAGTCCGTGTCAAGTACATAGGCCATTTCCAGATGGACTGCTCTGGATGCCAAGCAGGTAAACAAACACAAGTAACGTTTCTGTCGACGTGTCCTTCTTCCTTGCACAGTGATGAATGGTCCACCATAATCCACGGCAGTCTGTGCGAACGCTCTCAAGGAAAATCGAAGTCTGATCTGTGGGAGAGGGGCCATAATTTGTTTTGCAGCTTTAGCTTTTCTTCTTTGGCATTCGTTACACTCCTCCCATTCCCGAATTTCTTCATGACCAGAAATGATCCAGAAGCGTGTTGATAAAGCCACCAGCAATTGATTCGTTCCACCTGTGTGATTGCCTTTCTCGTGATAATGTTTGACAATTAGTTTCGTTACACAGTTCTTATGAGGCAGGATTATCGGAAAGGGAGCATCCTGAGGTAGAAATTCTGCATACTTAAGGCGTCCATCGCATCTCATTCGGCCCTCCTCGTCCAGCCATGGTTGTAAGCCGAGCAGCTTGCTCTTTTTGGGTATTTCTCTTTGTCGCTGAAGTGCCAAATACTCGTCGGGATATGCCTTTCTTTGTGCACCCTTTATCACCTGAACCACAGGATCTTCGATCTCTCCCGCCTTTAATTCTCCTCTCTCCCTGTTGGGACTTCTACAGTTATCTATGAAACGACAAACCCATTCTTGAACTCTTATTAGCTCTGTCCAACTTGAGAAGCGTTTTGGATCAAGACGCCATAACTGTTCATCTTCGTGAACTGAAATCATTGTCCAGTCTCCCTTGCTTCGGCCTGCCTGTGAGCTGCCTTGAGCTGCTTTCTTGATTTCCGTTGCTTCTGAAACTTTGTCGGTGTCAATTTGACTGACAGGCCAGTCTGACTCTTCCTTTTGAAGGTAATCAGGACCACTCCACCACTTTTTCTCCGTGGCCATGTCCGAAACTCTCATGCCCCTCGTAGTAAAGTCAGCAGGATTCTCATTGGTTGGCACGAAACGCCACTGCTTAGGATTCGTTAGGCTTTGAATTTCTCCCACTCGATTTGCTACGAAAGGTTAAATCTCCGACTTCTTCCTTTTATCCACCACAGGACATTCATACTATCGGACCAGAAGACTGCCTGACCCAATGCACCACTGTAAACTCTGGAAACTGACTCGGTCAGCCTTAGTCCCAGGATTGCTGCCACCAGTTCTAAACGAGGTATACTTGTTGCCGCAAGTGGTGCAACTCTTGTCTTGGCTGTAACTAGTTGACTAGATACTGATCCACTCTCGTAGATAACCTTCAAATAGAGAACAGCACCATATGCATCTTGCGATGCGTCTACAAAGGTGTGTAAGGTCTCGGACAGTACAACTTCTTCTGGGCCAAATCGTAAACATCTGGGAACTTTAATCATTGGTAACTCTTCCAACTCACAGAACCATTCTTGAGACTTGTGGATTAACTCCCTTGGGCATAGCTCGTCCCATTCAAGTCCTGCCACCCACATCTCCTGTATCATAACTTTGGCTCGAATGGTAAATGGTGCCAAGAAACCAACTGGGTCAAATAATGTGGCGATTTTCTTCAGAAAATTCCGTTTAGTGAGCTGAAAGTTCTCTTCGGGCGGGTTGCTTTGAACGTGAACACGTCTTCTGGAAGCCACGTGATTCACAGTGTCTTTACTGTTGGTAGGGGATCTTTGTTGATGACCACCTCGGATGCTCTATCCTTGATTGGTATCTTCTCCAGAACCTGGGGTGAATTGGACAACCATTTATGAGCATGCATTCCTGCCCTGCTCCACAGCTCATCTAACTGCTTGCACAACTCAATACCTTGACTGTCGTCCAACACAGAGTCCATACTGTCATCCATGTATGTTGACTTTGACACAGTTTCTGCAGTCAAGGGCAGCTCATCTTTGTGCTGCTCAGCATGTGTTTGGGAGACAAACTGAGCTTGAAAAGGCGATGAGTTAATCCCAAACACAACTCGGTTGAACTTGTACTCTTCCGGTTTTCTCTGCTGATCCAAGGATCTCCATAAGAACCGTTGACATGATCGGTCCTTAGTTGCAACTTCAATTCTCAAACACATCTTAGCGATGTCACAGATGAGTGCAACAGGGTATCTTCTGAATCAAAGTAAAATATCGTTCAAATCTCTCTGCAGTTTCGGTCCTTGATAAATGACGTCATTGAGGGAGATTCCCCCAAACTTTGCAGAGGCGTCAAATACAATGCGGGTCTTTGTTGTGGCTCTGTCCAGTCTTGCAACGGGAAAGTGTGGCAGGTACCATCTCCTTGCGGGCTTTTCTTCGGTTGGGTCGATCTTGCGAATGTAGCCCCTCTCCAAATATTGAGTGATGTTTTCTGAGTGGGCTGCTGCGATCTCTGGATTCTTCATATGCTTCTTTGGTCACTGAGCACATTTTGTTTTGGTTTTATTTTTATATTTTCCTTATTTTTAATTAATGAATTTTTTGTAATAGTGTGCGATAGTGAAATATGTCTGTAAATAATGTCAATTAATAAAAAATCTGAAATCTGAATCTTCAGTAAACGTTTCTCAGTGTTGCACAATCTGCGTAGCACCATGTCATAATTGTCTGGTAGGTCAGGAATGTTCTTCCATGGAAGTGCCACTTGATATCTTCCATCCAAGTACTTGAGGGACTTTTCCACCTTGTCTAACGTACATTGCTCATCAGGATTCAGAACTGGTCGATCATGTGATGTGCGAGGATTCTCTATTTCCCAGAATTGTCGTAGTAAACTACTTATTTCGTCAGTGTCTGACTGTTCTCGCACAAAATAGGTGTGTGCAAAGCTTGACTGATAGTCACCTCCTTTGAGCCCACTAACCGTTCCTGTACATGTCCATCCTAATGGCGTAAGTCTTGCTACTGGTTCCCCGGGCTGACCTCGAACATCCTTGAACGAGTAGTGTAGTTCAGCATAATCAACTCCAATTAACAAGTCCACTATTGGGCGGATGCCAGGATTTGGAAACTGTATCCCTCTCAAATGGGTGCACTTTGCCGCATACTTTTCCCAATCGATAACTTTCATGTTTCCTGTGACTCGTTCTGCTGTGAATGCACTTATGGTAGTCTTCACATTTCCATCTAAACTCTCCAACTCGACCTCAACTGGCGTAGTCTCGAAGGTTTCAGTCTGTCCATTTAGAACATTCACAGTTA